CCCATTCTTTCTGCTATACTAAATGCATCTTTTAGTAATTAAACAAACACATTTGTTATATAACGTGTTTGTTGTTATTTACTTTACTTTTGCCAGGCCAGATGCTAGTAAAAATAATTTTATTTGCTTATTTCATTTATCTTAGTGGTTACTCAGTTCAATCCGAAATTTAATATTAAAAGAAAATTTACAAACATAGTGATATATTCTAATAAAAGTGATTTCTATAAGGACTTTGTATATCTTCTTATTCTAAATTCAATACAATAAAAATGCAGTCATAACGAATTTTAATTTTAATTTCTATGCTTTTAGATCTATTTCAAATTAATATAATTGCAATACAGTAGACTGAATTAGGGCTACGTTAGACTGAACGAAGCAAATGTTATCAGTAAAATATTATGAATTTTTTTTTTTTGGTAACTGATTAAACGAAATCTATTTGACCCAAACAAATTTTTTTTTCATATTAAAACCAATTTATGAAAATAAAAGTCATATTTAATATTTAAACAAAAAACTAAAATATTAAAAATACATATAAAAAAAACCTACAACCAACAAATAATAATTTTTATAGAAGAAATTATCCTGGCCGGCAATAATAATTGCTCTTCTGTTGCAAGCATTAATATAAAAAAGAAGTAAGGATTTTTTTCCCCTCACTCACTTTTTTTCATTTTAGTTTTCAATTTTATTTTCGCACTATAAACGGGCATACATAAAGTACATTTTTATGTCTTTTTTTTTTCTTAAATGTCAAGTTTGAAAATGCTGCAGAGACTATGAACTAGTATCATAATTAACCAGATTCACTTTTCTCTACTTTCTGGTTATATCAGTGAAAATGAAAATTATTTTTATAAGAGCAAAACAAAATTTAATGTTTTTAGAGATGTAACTACATATACATATGTACATAAATGTGAATGAAATATGTAACATGTAAGCGTTATGTAAGGGTTTCCAGTTACAAATTGTTAATCAGAAATTTGAAAACAGGATGAGATGCAAATGAAATTAAAAAGGTAAACAACAAATGAATGAAATCTATGGTTGGCTGATGAATTTTAAAAATGTGTTTAGGAATGGACACCGCTTTGTTATATGTAATTGAGCCAGGAATCAATATATTATATATATTATTGTAATTTATACATAAACTTGATTCAGTTTTTATAAAACTTATTAAGAAACATTAAAAAATTCTTATTAACTTTACTTCCTCATACTAATCTTTTTCTTTTTAGGAAAACACAATGTTACAAAACTGTTGGATCATAGAGACTACAACAATATAACAAAAAAAACCATTGATTAAGGAGAATTCACATTTTGTTTATTGATATGCAACAGAATCAAAAACGAATGGAAACCCTATTATTTAAGTAATGGACAAAATTTGAAATTGTAAAGAAATTGCTAAGAAATTAAGTAGCCGTAAAACAAAAAATTCATATAAATAACCATGCAATATAAAGTTATTTTAAGTTTTGATTGTTAATGCCATATTTTCATTTGGTCATTTCCTGTGTCTTAGCATGGGGTATATTTTGTTGGTCTTTAAAAATAATAAAATTTGCTTAGGGTTTTTTTTTTGTTTATTTCTAATAAATTTATTAAATATAAAGAACACACATAAGTCTGTACGCTTTATCATATTTATAATTTCAAAGTATATAATAAGTACAGTATTTAATGTATGGGTTGGTAGAGAAAATAATAATGATGGCAATGATGATGATTATTGAATTTTTTTGATGCTATAAGTACATATGTATGTGCATATGTAAAAGTATAATGCTATTTGATGTAAAGGAACTTTTTATGTAATTTTCGTTTATTATTTCTATTAAAGTTTATATATGTATTTGAAGGATTCATAAAAATTTATAAAAAGTATAAAATAGTTATTAGAAATTTTTGGAGTGCATTCTTTTTACTTTAAAAAGAATAAAGATTATAAACGTTATTTTCTAATTTCTTTTTGTTATCAAGTCTGTTTACAATTTAGAGTCTATTTAGAATACTTTAAAGTTTTAAGAATTTTGGTTATTTAGAGTACAAATATTTTAAGAAAAATACTTCTCTGATTATATTTTAACTATAAGATTAAACTAGATTTATTGTAATGTGTTTAAAGAATCGAAATATTCTATAAGAAGTTTTCAATTATTATTATTAAAGTGTTCGCCAAAAATATGAATAATGGATGAACTAACTGTGAATGAATTTAGGACGGGATTTAATAGAGTTTTAATATTAAGATATTTTATTAAATGTAAAAAATATTACCCAGTTTTTAACTAGTAATAAAAAAACCATTTTATAAAAGCTTTTACTATATTATGGTCGTGTTTGAACACAAAGGGCTTAAATTTTTATGTTAACGTCATAATTAAATTTCTATTCTTTAAGTAAATTCAATTATTTGTGGCAAAAAGGGATCAAGTAGCCAAGTTAATTTTTCGTATTCAAATAAATAATGTAGTTAAAATTTTGCTTAATTCAGGTTACTCTAAGCTTAATACATAGACAAACATTCTTTGAAACTAAAAAGTCTTATGAGTTCTATTCTAAAATGATGGCAAAAATGTTATTAGAAACCCGTTACAAAAATTTCTGAAACTTTGATTTTATTGTATTATTTATAAAATTTAAATTTTAGTATCTTTTTATTTTAATTAAAGTTCTCTATGATTTGTCAAGTTTGATTTTTGAAGCGTAAGTGAATTTTAAAATTTTTGCTTCAAAACATAAAATAATTTTAAGTCTGTACATATTTTTCTTTATATTGGATTTTTAAATATTTTCCACATGAATTTTATACAACGTTTTACAAGTTACTAAAATTCTTTATTAATATTTGAAGACATTAGTTGCAGTAACACAAAATATTTTTTAAGATTAAGGCGAGCACGAAAGGAAAGCAAAGATATAAAATATTGTTTTTTAATTAAAATAATGTAAAGCGTCCTTTAAATTTAGTTTTTTTCTTTGTTCCTATTATAAGCAAATATGTACATACATATATAATGTATAAAATATAAAAAATATTTTTCAATAAATTTTTTAAAAATGTTCAATTTTTTTTAGCAAATATTTGATCAACCATCAATGGAATTCAATGTTTTAATAAAAGAAGATTTGTAATAAAAAGGAAATAATAAAAGGACTAACGAATTCAGGCCTCTGTCTTAAAGTATATACAGGCAATATGCTTCAGTTTATGTAGGTACATAAGTTTGAATAAGTTTTCATTAAGGACCTTAATAATAAAGTATAAAGAAGAGGAAATTATGAAAAATTTTGTGTACATTGAAAGTAAGTGAAAACCTTTTTTTTTTTGTTGTTTATTGTTTTATTTACTTCCGAAATAAATGTTGAAAGGCAATTTTTAAAAAATATTAAAAGTAAATATTTAACTTAGAAATACAACCGGGACGGAAGTTTATTTATTGTTTAATTTTTCATAAATTCAATTTAATCCTTTAGATTATAATTAATTAAAGTAATTAATAAAGATTTTTGAGATTTTTGAAATTTAATTTTATAAGAGATATTTTGTAAATTTTTTTATATTAAATTTTATTTAATTTTTTAATCTTTACTTTTTTTATATTAAATTAAGTAGATAGAAGGCTTTGAATATGATTTACTCCTAGTAAAACACAAGAAGTTCGAGAATGAAAAAGAAAGGCAGAAAATGGAACAGAAAGGAGGACAAAGGAACAGAATTTATTTTAAGGAAGGCCAAATCTTACCACGGGATGCAGCGACGGAAATATTATTTTGATGTCCCTATATAACTATCCTAAAGACAACACTAAAATAATAAAGAAGTATTTTCTTATGCCGCTCTTTGGATCCAATCATAACTGCTTAATAATTGGTGAGATTTTTACTTACTTTGTGATTATTTTAAATTAATTACTTCTGTCTGTTTGTCAGTTAAAATGTTCATTTCTGTAATAATTCTTGTTCTTCAGAGAAATTATTTTATTTAATTAACTCCTTGTTTTTAAAATGGAAAAAATTAAAACATTCAATTTTCTGGGGATTTAGTTTTATATAATTTTGAGTTGATATAATACAGAAAATTGGCTTCTTTTTTAAAAATTTGAACTTTATCTCATATTACTTAAGACTTACATCTCTCTAATGGTGGGATATTTTTGTTACGGAATCTAAGAAGCCTTTAATTATTTCGATAATGGGTAAAGTATTGATGGTCAGAATCGTATATTTACCATCATCTGTTGATAAATCATCAACTTTTTGATAGCAAATTACCAACATTTATTTGATTCTCGTATTTGAATTTGTTATCGTTTTTATTAATGAAATTGCGAATCAGATGTCGACATTTAATTTGAGAATTAATTTACATATTTTAATTTATTGTAATAAAATAATAAAATACTTACTTATAAAGTTCGAATAATTTACAAAATGCGTTTAAGAGCTATCCGTGGATAATTTTTTATCTTATTTGCAAAAGCAACATTTTTAGAATTAATTGTGTCAATAGATTGCATTGAATTTTAATAGTTTATGGGGTTACGTTTTTAATCTTAAGTGAGTCAAAAACAAAAATTTTCTGATTCTTCCTTATTTTTTTTCATTTCCAGCCCATTTTATAATTACATATTTCCTATAGGTAAATTTTCTGCCCGGTTTCTTTCAAAAAAACATTTATTTTCTCATTAAAGAATGTAATAATTTTATTGTATATTTTGTTTAGAATAAATTTTGAATTAAAATGAAAGCATGCACTCCAATAATTTAATTGATATTCTCATAAAAATATCAAACAATTTCTTTTTTATTTTAAAGTTTGTGTGTTTGACATTCAATTTCATTCAATTTTTTAATTTAATGTTGATTGCTTGTACCAAAGAATGCACTAAGCAAGTCGAGGCGATGGGAAAGAGAAAGAAAACAATTTAAACCTCTTTTTTTTTATTATTATTATTTATTTTTTATTTATTATCTTGACTTTTTTTTAATTTTTTCTTTTAATAATGTTAATAAAAAAATATAAAACTACTTTGTACGTCGAAAATTACAATGATACATTCGTGATATTTTTTTTTACATTTTTTTTTTTTGCATTTTTTAATTTTTTTATTTTATTGTATCTTGCCCTAAAGAGTTTTTCAAATATGATCCTCACTATTTAGGCCTAATTCTATATTATTGTATTCAATGTATATATATTTACACATATTAACATTGATAGACTATATATTTCATATAAATGCATTTATAATATGGGTATATATTAATGTTTACGTTACATACATATGTATAGAGTAAACTAACTAAAGGTGGTACTTTGTACCATAAACAATAATTAAATATCGTCACGATATAATACAATTTTTGTCTTTTTCAGGATCTGTATTCTGTTTACGTTTACGATCGTATGCGATTGCATCATTTGGTACATAACTAACACGAACACCACCATAGGGTCGCCTTAAAGGTATTTGATATAAATAATCATCTGAGCTAGACGAACTCGATGAACATGTTGAACAATCGCTGAATGCATCTGTATCTAAAAAAAAAAATTATATTTTATTAATACCATTTAAAATCAATACTATAATAGCTATGATAAAGAAAAATAAATATGTATTCAGAATTATTACCACCAATAGCTGATGTAGATATATTACCACGATTTCTCATTATTGATTGCAATGGATAGCTGCTAGAATTAACACCACTGATATTAGAATTACCAATACAACTACTACTTGTAGATGGTTGTAATTCATTTATTTGATTTTGTTCATTTGATTTAAGTCCTCCTGCTGATGCTGGTGCTGTTGTTGATGATGATGATGTTGATTGTTGTAATAAACTAAAATTTTTGCAAGATGATTTTCTTCGACGTCGACGTCTAGATGAATGATGATGACCATTTCCATTATTTGAATTATTTTGATTAGTAGTACTACCACCACTACCTGAATAACTTCTTGAACGTGGTAATGTATCAGGTATACCTTCAAAACGTACACCTTTTTTCTTATCTTTTTCTGGTTTTAAAGATGATGATGTCGGTAAATGATGATGAATTTGATGATGTTGTTGCTGTTGTTGATGTAATTCATTTTGCTGTTGTTGTTGTTTTTGTTGCTGATGATGTAGTAAATGCTGTTGATTTGTTGTTATCTTAATGCTATCGGGCATATTATATTGCTGTTGTTGTTGTTGCTGTTGATGATGAATATTATATTGTAAATGCTGTAAATTATGATTATGATATTGATGATGTTGATTATTATGGATATCTGATGATAATAACATATTATCGAGGAATTCAGGTACATTGGAAGCTACTGATATATCGGGTGTTGGAAGTTCTGGCATTTCATTTGGTGATTGAATTGTTGGAATTATATTATTATTATTATGATGAGGTGAATTTTCATTATCGGAATCATGTACTGATGATAATTCAGGCATACTTGATGTCATTGAAGAATTCATTTTATGTAAGCTATGAACAGATTTATTATGTCGATTTCCTGAATTATTTGATTTTGATTTTAATATATCTAAATTAATATTCATTTCATTGAAGGTAAATGGATCAAAATTTGATTGTTGAAGATGCTGTCTCTTTTGTGCTGCTATCGATATTAATTCATTAAATTCACTTGGTGATGTTAATGGTGTCATATTTTGTGAAGAGTTTGATGGACCACCAGAAAAATCTGTTAAATCTTTATCTTCTTTTAATTTCGATGCATAATTATATAATATATCATTTGTAGATTTTGATTCATTTGGTACATGGACACGAGGAAAATTAAATACTGTTGAATTAACTATATCATGATGTTGTTCATCCATTATTCTCGGTGATAATGATGGACTTAATGATTCTCTATGAAAATCTTGATTTAATTGAGATCTACCAGCTGATCGTGTATGCTGCATTGTTTGTGGTCCTGAACTATCTGATGGTGTAGGAGGTTCACCTTTGCTACATGCTATAGAACAATAAATTGATCCACGTCTTGGTAAAAATGGTCTTCCTAATAAGGAGCAACGGCATGTATTACATGAAAAACATTCATCTGATGCATGCCAATGCTGTCCATCATGTGTCATTTGACCTTGATCGACACCAATTGGTTCACCACAAAAATCACAATATTCAGCAAACATAGTATCAAAACATTGTAAACAATACGGTTTACCATCTCGCATTATATATCGTTGCCCACCAAGTTGTTTTTCACATTCAAAACAAGCGAAATGTGTCATATGCCAAGCACGTCCTTCTGCTTCTGTACATTCATCAGCGAGAATGATCTATTTAATTGAAACAATTAGAAAATTAGGTAAATTATTATAAAAATTAAAATTTTTACTTCATCACAAGCAGAACATCTAGGTTTTAAGGTTTCAGCATGATGACGACCACAATAAAGTCTTCCATCTCGACAAAAATATATTAAATCAACTAAAAGTTCTTTACATACACTACAATTAAAACAATTTGGATGCCATGATGCATTTGGTCCAATACGTGAAGCATATACTGCTATATCTCCAGCAGAAATGATATCTTCACACTGTATATTTAAAATAAATAAATAAAATATATAAAGGTAACTTTAAATATAAATTAAATGAATTCACTTTTAGAATCTTACCCCATTGCATTGTTTTATATTTAAAAGTTGTCTTGCTGTGCCTCTACCTAAAGCATCTCTTTTTCGTTGTGTAGAAAATAGCCTCAATTCTTTTCGTTCTTCCTCAGTCAACGAATGACAATAACGTACCTGAAATATTAAAAATAAAATATGGAATTAAAGAAATGCTTGGCTTAAAAATTATTAGTTTCAAACAAATTATATTCAGAAAATTATTGTTGCGTTGATTATTAGCTTAAAATTTCTTGTCCTCAAATGTGGGAAAAAAATCATTTTATTTTAGTTATCCTGTGTTCACGTTCACAACTTTCACATTACACATATATAACACTTGAAAATTTGATGTTTCATGGTCAATGAACCAATAGTACTTTATGTAAATGGCCTTGGATTTTTAAATAATAATAATTTTAGTTTCTACCTATCGATTTAATTACTTCACTTTTGTACACATGCACTCTACTAATTGTTCTTGTATTAAAAAATCCTCTATTCTCATGCAAAAATTATAGCAAAACTTAGGTTAGCTTCTGGATTTTTATGTTTATTCATGGCATATGTTTTTGTTATCGCTATTTAGGTATGCATACGTATATCAAGATCTTTATTTACTTATTAATTGTGCATGGTACTTTGCATAAATGTTGATTTACGTATAAGAGTTTTCGTATAATATTTATATAACTGAATCGTTTGTATAAACCCATTCTTGCCAATGTTTGTTATTTTTTCTTTTTGAAAAATAACTTATATTTTCCATTCATTTAATAGAAACAGATTAAAAACGAAAATATTGGAAAAAAGATTTTTCACACTCTTGTACTAAAACCGTTACTTCTTCTAGGTGCAATGAGAACAAATGGGTTAAAAATGTTTTAATAATTCATCATTGTACGCTTTTATTCATGCTATTGCTTTACTGATTTTAAAAATTAAAAATTTTTCACAAGTGGAAAATTAAACACAATATTAAAAACTGTGTCTGTGTCTTACACGTTTTACTAAAATGAAATAAGTAACTGAGAATTTTAACAGGTCAGAAATTTTGGAAATCTTTCCGGTTCTTGTAATTAGTATAGAGGTATCTTTGTCCTTTTCAACAGTGTTATAATAAACATAATTTTTTTTGTGATAGTTTCGTTAATCTTGACATATTAATGTATTCAAATATTGGATCGAAAACAATTTTGAAATCTACTTGTACTCGTACATATAAAACCAAAACCAAATCAAAGGAGTAATTGTGTATCTCTCCGTTTTGCCCGACAATTATAATAGTCAAACACCAAAGAAGGTTTATTTTGAGAAAGAGTTCGAAAATTTGGAATAGTAATCTTATTGCATTACTAAATTTAAGTTCATAAAAGGAGGATTCTGGTTAGAAAGTGAGACTCATGATAAATAGTGAGATGAAAAAGCGAGATGATTAGGTCCGATTAGGTTCAAAATATTTTATATTTGATTGTATGAATTAATAATTTTTAAAATTTTACTAAAAAAGCATTTTTTCTAAATAAAATTTTAAAGAAAAAATTGAGAAACAAAAATGAACCTACAGGGAATAATTATTACAGTTGGGATGCATGAAGAATTTTATGAAGTTGTGAACACTATAAATATTTTATTCGTTTATGTACATTATCCACATTTCCATACACACATACAAAAGCACATTAAACAAACACTTATGTACAGAGAATATATAAGTATAATATCAATTATTTTTTAATAAATTACGATTTCGATTAAGAAAAAAAACTAACAAATAAGAAAGGAAAAAATTGTTAAGCAAATAATGCGCTTGTAAAAAATAAATTAAAAATTGAAAAGTTTTGACATGAAAAAAGAACAAAAATCCTTTAAAACATACAAACAAACAAAAAAAACTATCTAGCATATTTTTTTTTTATATTTTACCATCTCTTAATTTAAATTATAGTTTTAAATAATCGTTACATCCTTGCGTGAGGATTAAAAATATTATTTGCATGTTAAAACATATTGTCTGAGCTGCTAACATAAACTTCATAATTTTTGCCTTTAGGAATGAAGGCATTTGCTGTTTTTTTTATTTGTCTCCATAAAAGAAAATGAAATAAAAAAAAATATGCGGCAAAACGAATTATAAGCATTATTTTTACAAATTTTTTTTTTTTAATTTTAAAATTTCATATTTTATTATTGTTTTAATTTTTCTTTTTTTTTGCAGTTAAATACGATTAAACGTAATATTAATTATGGACAGAGAAATAAAAAGAAATTTGTTTTGATCAGTTTTTGAGATATTTGGCACTTCTGTTAAGTCATACTTGTGGATTTGTACAAAAATAAGTGTGATCTCGTGAGTCTGCGTAGGATGCATTTATACAATGAAGGGACATGAAGTAAATTTTGATGTTACAAGTTATGTACGCCGCTAAGATATGAAATATTTTATGTTTTTAATTTTTTTATAATTTTTAGATTTGAATAGGCTAAGGCACATCCCACTGGATGAGAGTATTGTTTATAAATAAAGTAAATGAGGGGACAAGAGCATCACATCTTTTGATATATAGTGTACCACTCATTTTTAAATATTGTAACTTGACAAATAGGTAAGCTGCTTAGAGTTTTTCCATGATTTTTAAATCTTTTCTTTTAGTTTTTAGGTGTAAAAATCTAATTAGGACAAAATTAAAGGAGCTTGAATCTATTTTTGTAATGAATTCGAATTGAACTTTTTGAAATTAATGAAAGAGTAGAGTTTTTGTCTCGATCACTTCTGGGGAAAATGTTGTAAAAGGATGATTTTTTTAAGGAAATGACTTTTAATGATTATAGTTTTGCAAATTTACCACGGTCTATTATTTACTTAAAAAAATAGATTTATTACGGCAAAACTAGAGAAAAATACCCTCCAGCTGCCATTTTAGAATTTGAGATTATCAAATAAAAATACGAGCTTGTGTAACTTTTTTCTAACTTGTAAGTTAATTGGTTCACAGAATAAGAATTTGCATTAAATAAGAAACATATCCATTAATTCTTATATATTGCAAGTATATCTGCAAAACTTTCAATATTTTAATGATGTACAATATATTATGGTAAAGGTCAAAGATATAGGACGAAATTTTATAATAACACAAAAATACTTTTATTATTCATAGCCGTTATTTTCTAAATAATATTAAATTTTGGTTGTCTGAATTTAATTATAAATAAGATGCTTCATCTATATAAGAAATTTTAATGTTAATGCTATAAAGGATGGGTATTCCAGTCAAATTTTGATTTTATATCTTTGTGTATTAATGATTACATCTATGCCCAATATTAACAATGTTAATTTACGGAAGTTAAGTAGAAATTTAACTATAATTTTAATTTAAATAATATTGCATGTTGAGATCATTGATATGCTCTAATGCTTATAAAAATTTTCAAGATCTAGTTTCAATTAGAAAAAAAAAATTAATTTAAATTGACAGTAGACATGGAATTTTCATCTAGTTACATACATTCTATTAATTTTTCTCTTATAAACTCAATTTATTACAATATGTAATTCAAAACAAATATAGAAAGAAGCGATAATAAAATGTATAGATGAAGAAAAAGTGAGAAAATTATTAACACAAATTTCTTTTATTTTTTTTTTTTTTTTAGGATCGTGGGAGAAATTTAAATTTGAATATCAAATTACAATTTAATCGTGATATGTTAAAATTAAAATTGAGGAAATTATTTATAACCGATAAATTATTAAGTACATAAATTTAATAATTTATTTCAAAATTTTTAGTCTATTTATATTTTAATCGTTTGAATATTTACATACAAACATAATATGAAAGATGGAATGAATTTCATAAAATCAAATGCGCATAAAGTGTGTTATGAAGGCGCCAGTTATATAAGTGAAATTTTTCATTGAAATTTTTTAAACTAGTAATAAATTATTGAAGTATGAAAGAAGAAATAGTATCTTAGTTGGTGTTGGTTGTGAATGATGCCATGCGAATATTACATTCATTTCTTCATCTATAAACGAAAGCGTGGTTCAAATTACTTCTGTTAGAAATCATTCCATTTTTTGTATTATCGTATTACTTTCTATTATAAATTCAGATTGTTTCATTTTAATTATTTATTATTGAACTATTTTGAAATATCTAGGATTTAAATTAAGATAAATATGTGTATTTAACAATTATTAAATAAAACTAAATAGTTGGAACGCCCAATTGTAAAATGAAATGATCCTGGAATTTTTACAATAGCTGAAATAATCAAAGTAATTAATTTAGATTTGAATTTAGTTGTACAAAGCAGTTTTTGAAATTTAATTATGGAAAAAATTTTATCATTTTAGAATATTGCATTGGCTTGAAAGAAAATTTTTCACCTAAGATATTTTAATTGCAATTAATTTTTAAATGAGAAGAATAAAATAAATTATGAGGAGCAAAAATACTCTAGATACTTTGAAGAATCGCAGAAATTTAATTTCAATTGCTTTAAAAAATCCAAGTAAAAGGTAAATTTTCTCTGTACATTTTAAATCTCATATAACAACATGCTTCATTATCTTTTTAGATTATCAAAATTCATCAGACAGCATTATCGAAGTAAGCTGACACAATAAAGATGTAAAATGAATTTTATTTTTGTAAAAAAATCATCTTAAGAAAAACGATCAAGTTTTTAATTTTTTTTTCTTTAATATTGCGTGTTAAGATAATATAATTATATATTGTTACAATTTATAAACATATTCTGTATCATATAAACAACTCATAGCTGGTACATACATATATATATATAAATTAAAGATAGGATATTAACATAGTCCGCATAGGCGATAAATATACACACAATCATGTAATAATTTGTGAAAGAAGAAGAAAAATTTTCCATGTGTAAAAAATTAATAATCATGAAATACATGGAAAATTTATTTTTTTTTCTTTTAAATAAATTAAGAAGAAAATCATGTTTTAAGTACAAATGTATGTATAAAAGGAAAAAGTATCATGTTTAAAGTTTGAATGATTATTAAAATCTAATTTTTCTTTTAAAACAGTTTGGAATTATAATATGAGGTGTAGTAAATTTATAATGAATAATGTAATTAAACTTGTTAATTTATAACTAATTGATATATGTATGTACATACGATAAAATAAGACAAGAAAATTTCATATGAATTTCCGTAATTTTTCTTTTAATATTAGTGTTATTGCTCTAATTTTTTAAAAGCAGTAATGAAAATGTTAAAATTTATTTCGTTTCTAATTTCATCTTGCGTAAATATATAAATTTTTATTAAATAATAATATTTTTTATGCATATAGTAAAGATATTTTGTCAAATTATTTATAATTTTTAAATTGTGGATCAAATTGTATATAGTTTTAAATTTGTAAAGGGTTTTTCAGTTTTGTACAAATTAGAAACTGTTTTATCTATTAATGCAATTCAATAATTAAAGAGTTTCGAAACCAAATAAAATGAATTTTAGTTTTATTATTTGATAAAAATGTTGATATTATTAAAGCATATAAAAACTGTTTTCAAAATATTGGCAATCATTTAATGTAACAGAAATGTTTTGTACTATAACAATGTTTTGCATTGAATGGTCAATTTTTAGTTCATACAGAGGAGAACACATTAGTTGTAAATTACAATTTCTTTTCTTTAATAGAAAACAATAATATTTGCAACTATAGACGTCATAATTTGGCGTAGTAGATTTTAATATATGTATTTAAATATCTTTGTAATCATACTTCAAAATATAATTTAATTAATAGTTTTTGTTTAGAGCATATTTGAAGAAATGGATATTAAATTAAACATTTAATTAAAATAATACTAAATCAAGAATTGTTTTAGCTAGAATGTGTAATAAGTAATGCAAATAATGTAAAATATTATTCCTTAAAGAAGGTACCTGTTTGATAAAGTAGGCATTTTTGTGGCATTTCTATATCAATTAGCTTTTCATAATTCTATTAAAAATTTTAATTTAAACATTAAAAAACATATTGTGTTGTATAATTTATTAATAAATTGTATAAATATTGTATTGTACTTATTGGAAACCTTTTCAAAAATTTTTTTTTATTTTTTAAATCAATTGATACGCACCCATATGAATGATTGAGTTCAAAGAATGATTTTTGTATTAAATATTTAAATAGAAATGAATATTATTGTATTTAAAAGTAAAATACCTATATTATGGCATGTTGTGTCTCAAGAATATCAATTACAAATACATATATTTTTATATTATATTATAAAGCCTATTCACGTAATATTATATTTTATGATAAAACAAGATTTTTGATTGAAAAATTGCATTTTGAATTTTAAATTTAAAAAACAAAAAATTTAAATAAAAGCGTTAAAATAAAAAAGATTTTTTTTTTTAATTCTGTATATTATATAATTTTATAATAATTGTGCATAGTAATTATAATATGATTAAAATATATATGTACATACTTTTCAAATTAAAGACACGCTTTGACTTAAGATATTAAAGAACTTGAAAGAATGTTGGATAATTTTTTTTTTACTTATAAGAATTAAGTATGTAATAGTTCTTGATATATATATATATGTATACATATAAAAGTGTTATTTTAGTAATTATAAATTTAAAGAATGATTAAAAAACATGAATAATCAAAAAACATTATGCAATCAGGATGTTGGAAGAATTTTAATGAAAACTTGAATTCTGAATAAATATGTTCATTATTAAAAATCACCAAGGAGGTCGTTGTTTTAACAAAAGTATTTTGCAAAATTTACGCAAAAAATGAAATAAATTGCATCTGTTCTTATTAGTGCATGATGTTAGATTTCGAATGAAGGCAACCCAATAAAATCAGAATAAAATTTAGGACTAAAACCAGAATGATAACAGTCGCAATTTTATATTAAAAAAATTTTTATAACTTTAGATTTAGTTCAAGATTTACATTTAGGAAAAAGAAGCATTATATTGTGTAATAAAATCGAGTTAGAAGTAAGCCAATTTTGTAATTGTAACATTCCAAATTGATTTAGGTATTTAGGAACTTGAATGGTATGAATATATTAAAGCAACTATATTGGAAACAAGGTTTTACAATTACAAAAAGTAATTTTTATAAATGAAATAGCTCATACACACACACAAATGTCACATATGACGACATATAAAAGTAAAAAATAATAATTAATTTACCTCATTATCATGCGGTGGTAGTTGTTGTAATAATTGTCGAACACGATATCTTTCACCTGGACTATTAACATATGGCACTTTATCATCTGGTATCAATGAAAAGTACAATCTAACCTGTAAATTAATATTAAAAATTTAATTTATTATTAAGAAAAGTTAATGTTCATAGTATTTAATATAAAAATTTTTCTGTTTTCTATGATAAAATACAAATTTTAATTCTTAACAAGTTCAAAACCAGTAGATTTTCTTTATTTCTTCGATTTACAATTTTTTTTAACAATAATCTATATTAACATTATCAGATCGTTTAATCAAATGTCTAAAATCAAATTTGTTTAATAGCCTATAATAGAGAATTACATAAATCTTACACAATCGGTTTTAATTCCTTAACACAAGCCAGCATAGCATAATATTAACATTAATCTTTTGTGAATATAGAATTTATTTCTATCCCATATTTGAACAAAAGTACCTTGCAATAAGTTTATACTGTAATGATAATAATATGTGTAATTTAAGTTTGTTTTTGACATAATCACCCTTATTAATTTGATAACAAGTGATACACAACAGTGCATGTACATACAATATTCCATATAAAAGTTTTATATTATTCCTTTAATTAGCCAATTGTAAAAGTACACATACCATATCGAAATAAGGTAATAATTCGACAACAATTCAACTTCAAAACACAAAAAAAAAACCAAAATTAAAATCAAAATGAATTCAATCCCTTCTAATCCTTCTTATTTAAGGATACTATAAAAATAACTTAAACTTTTTTTTATATATTGAAATTACCACAAATATCCTTATATGAACATTATATTTTGGCTCTGTATTCAATATATAAAAAAATGAAGAAGAAAACAAAAATGTTGACTATGACAAAAAAAAAAATAAACCAATGCTACCACATAGCAATATGGAAGGGAAATATCAAAATGCCCAGACATTAGAATTTCATATCTCGGCCATAAAATCAAAAAAGAAAATAAAGGATATACCATAAAGGAAACAACATACAAAAAAAGAAAAAAGATGGAGAAAAGTTTGCCAGAAACAAAAATTTGAAAGAAAATAAAACGATTGGGAAAAATAGAGAAAACAATTGAAATGTGGGGTTCCTTTACTGTGGTCACACATTAGAGATTCTCTTGATATATAAATTATTTTTATTTTTATACCCCATAATCCATAAAATTGCATTTTCTCTTATAATAATGCAGGGCTTATTGTTGACCATATCCAACAATCCATTCTACATTAATAGTAATACACATTTGCACAAGAATCAGGCTTTTTATGTGTGAACGAGAATAGTAAAGCAAACAAAAAAAAAAATAATAATAAAAAAAATAGAAAAATCAACAGAAAAATGAAAAAAAAAAAATATTAATAATATGAAAAACGAAAAAAGCAAAAAAAAGACAAAATTGTGTGGGCAGCCGTTATAAGGACGATAAGGGATGATAAACGTGTGAATAAATTTCCGAAGGATTAAAATCGTGATATATTGACTTCAAAAAACATTAATATAAACCGGAAATTTATTTTTATTCTTTTATATGTGGGATATGATATCTGTCTCGAAATTTCGTATATATGAGGACATTTTTATATACATGCATATTTTTACAAAAATATTTTAACCATGAAACAAATTAAGATCAAATAATAGAAAATGAATGGAAACTTCGGCACTAAATTCGTTGCATTATTGTATTTATAACCATTAGGAAGTGAACCGCACCTAAAAATTGGGTTAGAAATATAAGGAATAGGTTTAGAAATATAAGGAAATGCAAGGTACTATAAGTTAGAAAGTAAATTTAACATCAATTTGGCTATAAACCCAATCATAGTATTTTAAGAAATCTTAAGTTAATTATTATATAATTAACTTAATAATTAAGAATATTTTAAGAAATTTCTATAAAAATAGAAGATTTTAATTCCCTCAACTGATTTAATTCGTCATCGAATACGAACGTTTATGTCAATGTCCCAATTTAATTTTGGTTGTCATCCAAATGAAATGCAAAAATTACGATTTACATACATTGTAAATATTATTTATCAAGAATAATTCAAGTAAGAGACTAGAGACAGACATTATTTTATTTAATAATTAATTTTTTTCAAGAGAAATGTGCTAAATTAGAAAGTGTCAATTTGATTATGGTGTCGATTTGAATTAAAAAGGCCCTAAGCCGCTAATTTTTTATATGATGTAAAATATTGAATAGAAAAAAAAAAATAAGTAATTGTGTTAACAAAAGCAATTGCTACGGGAATTCTGCTGACTATGGGCTTTATATATAAAAAACAATTCACAATAAATTTTTATAAATGATCTCAAAATTATAATTCACTTAAAACAATATCAGTTCGTAAGCACTATTGCTAATTTTTTAATTTTAGCTACTAGTCTAGAATTAAATTTTCTAGTACGTCTTATTCCTCAGGTATTAAAGAAAATTTTATGTGAAAAAGTTCTTATTATATTACTTTATAGATAAATCTGGCGATTTGAATCAGGAAAGAAAAATAATATTCCTAGAGTACCTAGATGTACAAATTCTTTTCCAAGAAAGTTATCATTTGCGTTTTCTTAATGTATTTATTTGCATACTTAAACAACATAGAGTATATGTTAAGCATTTAGAAAAATTTTGTTTTGCTTAAAGGCGGAAAATGTTTTTTAGGATTTTTCGCATTGCATTTTTCAACATTTTGTTGTTATCTTTTTACCACACTGTACAGCAGTTTTCATGTAGTTTTTCTTTATTTTAAGTTTGTCTTTTAAAATTTTTTTTTTTTGTATTTCAATTTTAAAACAATATTTTATCATTTTGTCAGGTCTGGATTTTTTTTTTGTTTCTGGTTATTGTATCTACTACATTATTGTATACGTATACTTATCTACACTATGCTGAAAGGAAAACCGAAACATGCGAAAGTGGATGTACATACATGCGAATGCATGTTAATGCATATTCTGTATATAATTCGGATTTTATGTTCATACATATGAAGTGCACTGTTTGTATTTATATTGGAATAATATGCAAATTTATATTTTGAAAAAAATAATAATTCATATCTTTGCTTATATATAGAAAAACAAAAAAGAAGCATTTTAAACTACATAAAAGTATATTTATTTTTTTTTTTATTATTTTTAATTTGAATCAGAAAAGTGAGGTTAAAATCAATGGATGCGTTTGCTATTATAATCATATATGTAGATGGAACTCATACACATACATACATATAAAAAATTTATGAAAAATATTATGTACGTGCAATTATAAAAAACTATCAAATTGTATCAAAACTTTTCTACATACATACGCTTGTGCTTCTATAAAATGTAGTTAGCTACATTGTTGTTTTATAAGTGCATCTACTATATAAAAATTAAAAGAGAGAAAAATGAATGAGAAATTGCAGTAGCATCTGTTCATGTATATGTATAACTATATAAAAACAACAATATTTTTGTATATGTACATAAAAATATTAAAAACAAAAAATTATATACATATTTATAGGAAAAGTGAAAAATTTTAAAATCGAAAAATTGAGGTTAAGTGAAGCTTGTTGAGAGTGCACATTGCAAATTGTAGCTACATACATATTTTTTTTTAAATCTCATATTTTTAATTCTAAAACTATATACAGTATGGTGTAGTTTGCACTTAGATAAGTAGGTATGTGCATAGGTATATTGTATATATACATTATGTATTTGTATATTGAAATATAAATTGCAATATTTTTGTTTTGTTTTGTTTTTTTATTATTATTATTGTGAAATTTATGAATGTTTCGGATTAAGGTAAATTCCATAAATTTTAAAATTTTGTTTTTTTTTCCTATAAAATATTATTAGAATGCCATAATAAATTTATTGAAACATAAAAAAAATGTTTATTGTTATTCTCAATTACTATGCCACTGTTGAAATAAATATAGTTATTATAATTTTTCTATTTAAAAGTATATATACATAAGTATGTAGGTATATTAATTTATAAAAATATTGTGAAGATGAATGACTTGTATATGTTATATAAAATGGGTGGGTTAGTCTACTCTATTTTATATAGTGTAAGTTCAATTGAAATGAATTTCTTGCAGTAAATTATTTAGTATTGTTGTACTATATTTATTATTAAAATTAATTGATTTGGAATTTTGGCAAGTGTTTACCGGAAATTAATTTATCTACCCGTATAAACAAGTTTCTGATTTGACGAAATTATCGGTTTTAAAACAGCCCTAAATATTAAGAAATTAAAATGAAGACAATTTTTGTACAGGTTTTAAGATAAATATAATAGATTTAGAGTACGTATCTTAAAACCTGTACGTAATTAACTTATGTAAATTTCGTAAACTAGATTATGTAAAATAAATATTAGAGGGTGAATATTTATTGATTTCTTATTTAAATAAGCCCTGTTATGTCTAATCTGCTGAAGAGAAAATTCAATATTGTATATTGTGAATGATTATATTCTGTATTGTGAATTGGATTATAACCTTTAAATGGTCCACCCTAATTATTATTTTCTATTTAGAAAATCTAGTTAATATACATAAGATATAAATTTTGTGAAATATTTACTATAAATAAAATGATTCTTTATTTTTTTCATTAATTTTGAAAAACAAAAAAAAAAAATAACTCTAATTTGGCTTTTATCAAAATTAAATTAATTGAAAAATTTGCTGAAAATTCTATATATGTATAGTTTAATAAAAATGTAATGAAATAAATGGAGCGGAATCCATGGCATAATTGTAATTAATTTGCTTTCAAAATGGAGTGAGTGAGATTTTTATTAAAGAGCAATAATGAGCAATATGAGCAAATAACATAATACTATTGAGTAAGTGTTTCCTAATTTCACCATAATGAAAAATGTAATATTATTCTAGAAAAATTCTACTGCCGTCATATTAGGAATTACATATATTTATTCACGATTTATATATTAAAATTAGAAAATTGTTTTTAATGAAAAATTTCCTAAAATAACCAAAAGTTTGTCTTATTTCTGAATTTCAAACAAAATTTGAATTTTTAACTTTAA